CATTTCAGTGATCTGACCAATAACGAAGGAGATGCCCACTTTATCTCCGCTACTGGTTAGTTCACTGAACATTTCGCTATTGGTCACACTGATCTATAAAATGGAAGAGTTAGATGAGATTATATCGTTGACTTCCAGACTTCTTTGCTAGGAAAGGTCACTTTCAGGACACAGACTAGTTTTTTACACATTGATCATTAATGCTGCTCCTACCAGTTGTCTGTCGCTACCTTCCCCTACCCTTCTCTTCTGTTTAATACAATTGAACGTCTGAGAAATTGATGTAAATAAGTTTTTGAGAAAAATAATGTTGACAGGCGCGGTTGATGCGATCAATTGCCTTTCTGTCCCCCCAGACAGGTGTGTTTGCTCTAGGAGAATACGAGAAACTCCGCCCTACATCTCACACCGCTCAGAAGTTTCGGTTCTTTCCTTTCTTTACAGTGGTCGCACATGGTCTGTGCTTGATTTTGGTACAAATTTTTTGAGATAGGGAAATTTTCGGGGTTTGCGGTTTCCCTTTTTAGTTCAGTGAATTTGTGGGCATTCTTTTTTATATTTTTTTATTCGCACATGGCCCCGACTGTCCCATGATTTGCATTGGAAATCATGCGCACTGTTGAGACCACAAGCAACATAATCTCTTCACCTCTGCGTTGTTTTCGACTTTGTAAACCTCAAACCTTTGGTGCCTAAAACGCAGCGACGAATTTGCATCATGTGTTCCCAAAAACCCTATGACTGTTAATTTCTTAGAAAGTTCTGTCACATGCCCGCTTGTTAAAGTATTAATTTTCGTTTATTTTTACGGCACAACGGCACATCACATGAGATTTGTCCTTGTTCGCTCCTGCAAAAATCTAATTTGTCATATCGAAGTGACCTTGAAGGAGTGTCTTGTCGACGAAGTTGGGAACTGTCTATCAGTCTCCTGAAATTCCCAAGTAAAGCGAGTACGTAGTGCCTAAAAACTAGATAGTTATCTTCGATATAATCTCTGTTCTTCTCACTGGAGGTGTTGACATTGTCAAGTTCTTTTCTCCCCACTTCGCTTTACACAAATACGCACATCGCCCTCTCTACACACAC